CCCCAAAACCCCAAAACCCCAAAACCCCTAAAATGTGCAATTTCTTTAATTAAGAAGATAATATAAAATAGAGAAAAATATTTAAATGATAATTCATTTATAATAAAATGTTAGAATTCTCAGGTGCTACTACAACAGCTACATCAAAAGACAAATAAGATTTTCATAGTAATTTATCATTATCACAAATGAATCAATCAATTAAAAATAAAACGGCGACTTCTAATCAAAAAGAAAGGGAAAATTAAGGCAAAGAATAACTGAATAATCAGCCTAAATCACTAACGAAAGAGTAAACTTCATAGTCAAGCAACCCAATTTCGAATTCACCTCAAAGCAACAAAGAGGCAAAGGCTTCAACTGAGGCGCAGTAGTTTATACAGATGTTCTCGGATATGAATGAAAAAGCAATTGAAAGCATGAACAAAGATGAGCCCGAGACGGCTCTTGAATTCTTAAAGAAAGTTGATGAAACCTTAAAAAAGTTGCAAAGTGCTTCATCATCTCATTAATCTCATTTGCATACTTCTTCCAGAGATTATAAAAAGTCAAAGAATCTGCCAGCTAACGATAATAATAAAAATATAAAATCAATAGATGAGTAAATTGATCCTAATTATAAAGCAGCACTCTATTATAATCTGGCATGTTGTTACTAGAGACTTGGAATGCTGGAAGAATGTGTTGATTTCTTGGAACTAGCTACAAAATCTCTTAATAAAAAAATAATCATGCTTGAGGAAGAGGAGAACGCTTTGCTTTTTAATAATAATGCAGATTAGAATTCAGTAGATGCGGAAATTCTGGGAACAGGCAACTAGACAGCTGTGGGGAATCAAAATCACGCAAATAAATATCTTAACTTTGGAGCTAATCATCACTAATTCTCAACTCACAGTACAAATGATAATAGAAAAAGCACCCACTAGCAAACTTACGACCAGAAATCTCCAATTACAGCTAACGCTATGTCAGATTAAAAGAAAGGGAAAAAGATTAGCAGAGAAAAATTGCTAGCTTCAAAATTACATAAGCTAAGATATCAATGTAAATTTAATCTTTAATTGTGCGCAATCTTGTCATAAATAAACTAGCACAGAGATGCCTTGATTTACGGCCATAAGTCATCAGCATTATGCGCTAAACTTGTCAAAGAAGCTTAGTTATTATGCAAGCGATTCATGCATCAAATACAGAGATCTATCAAGAGAGAGCAAGAAAGATAGACAAATCAAATAAGCCTTAAAAATAAAAAGGTGCATGAAAACTCATTGTAATAAGACTCAATGTAAAGCAATAAAACTCAAAATGGATTGGACAATAGCAATTATTCTTAAAAAGCAAAAAATATAAGAGCAAATACTGCTCTAGGGACAGGAGTAGCTATAAGTTATTCCAAAAAAGGGAAGAATTCAAGGAGCTCGGTGAGCAGTGTGGATAGAAAGGATGAATTTCATGCTTAGTCGAAGAGATCACATTCGTCACAATCTGAAAAAATCAAAAGTCGTCATGAAATTGATAAGTCAGCAGATTCTATCGGAAGTCCTAACTAAAGTGTGACAAGACTCAGAATTTATAAGAACCCATTTGTTAGAGATAGTATGAATGAGAGTTAATTATCTAAATACAGAGATAACAGTAATGAGTCTCTCGAAAGAATCCACACATTTTCCTTGAAGAATTCTTTCGCAAAGCTTAAGACTACTTAGAATGACTAAGATAAAACCTCCAAAAATAGAAAAGACTCTAATCCTAGCAGTCTTACAAGATAGTCTATAGAAAATCTTTTAAAAAATAAAGATACCACTACTGCTGAAGAAGGAGCAGCTCCCAACAAAACATACTATGTAGAGGAATCTGTTAAAATACTTGAAAGCATAATAATGAAGGCAGATCCTATTCTATCTGAGCTTGCTTCTAAAGTAAAATAGTTTGAGAAAATAGCAAATCTTACAGCTGCTGAGAGAGAGCAGGATCTTTTGGATAAATATGGGCAAGAGGAGTATCAAGAATAAAAGAGAAAACTAAAAGTATCTTTTCATAATGAAGATGAAATAAACGAGTTGAAGTCTAATTCAGCATACAAGATGTCCGTTAGAAACGTTCTTGGGCTAAGGCATTCAGAAGATTGGATATTCAACTTAAATATCGGTAATGTAATGCACCTCAGTTTAATGGGAGCTGAAGAGCTGAATGCAAAATTAGAAAATACCCATGAGCTTTGCAAAGATTCAATGCTTGAGAAAATTGTCTTAGTTAGTGTTTCTTATTTCTGTATCGGGACAGAGATGAGATTCTTAATGTAAAAGCAAAATAGTAATATAACAAAGAGGGACAGCGAGGCATTTCACGCTAAGGCTCTTCACATTTCAAGTCTTTTCCTTCCACATGATTGTCCACTAGTAATGCATATTGTAAACAGCTACACTAAGAATTATCTGAAAGATAAAAAGTAATAAAGCAAAAGAACTACTACTGATTTCTCCCTGACTTAAGGAACTGATCCTGCTGCAAGATAAAAATCAAGGCAGTCTTATGGTTCTAATACAACCTCTCCAGCTCATATATCAATGAATCAATAGCATCATCATACCCAAAATAATTAGAGTTCGCAAAACGAGCACATAATGACGAATCTAATGAGTAGGATTGGAAGAGGGAAACATCAGCAGCCAAGTCAGTAGTCTGTGCATTCATAAAATTTTTCAAATCCAAGAACTTCAGGCAGTGGAGATTCCTAAGATGATTCTACTTCTCAGCCACACAGTATCGATGCTAAAGCTAATCGAGTTCATTAAAGCCAGATTAATCAGTAAATTGTAAGGCCTCTTGGTTATCCGATTGTTTAGCAAGAAACCATAAAGCAATAATAAAATAGAGTCTCAAGTAGTCAATAGCAATAACTATAGAAGATACATATAGATATCAGCAGGGCTCAATAGCAAGCAATTATTGATTTAAGGGGGAGCAACTAAACTCAACAGCAGTCACCTCATGAAAATATCAGTCTCATGTACAGATAACATCATATACAGCCACTAAGCACTAAAAATTAGGTACAGGATAGATCTTAATAGTAATTTCTATCTTAGTAAGCTTTTATACTTAGTGATAATTCTCAAGCAACTGTACCACTCTCAACCACTAGCAAATAAAAGAAGGAAGTGATGATACAAAGATTTCTACACAATAGACCATCTTATGAGTAGCAGAATCTAAATACTGTAAATAACGATGGCCTTTATCAAAACTTTGTTGATATCGAAATACAATAAGATAATCTGCCAACGACTATAAACTAATAATCAAATTAATTACTAAGTCAAATTTAAAGGTAAAAGCAAGTAAAATCCTAGCTAAATCATCTCAATACCTCTTCTGGAGCATCACAGAACTAGAATAACAACTAGGCATTGAGTCATCATCATCAGTTTTAATAATTATCACTTAATAGCACATCAAATTAAAGGACTTAAAATAAAACTCCTTCTGCAATCCACGAGAGACATAATGCTATAAATAGCGAACAATTTCTCTATTAGCAGAATCAGTTCATAGATCTAAGTAGTAATAACAATGGATTGAATCTGCAGCCGATAAGCAGTATGTAAAGTAATAATCAACATGGCCAATAAACATCAAATCTTAATATACCTATAAAAAAGAAAACCACCAGTGGAGGTGCAGGACAAGGCAGCTAATTATCCTCCACAACAGCAATAACTTCTATATAAAATAGTAAAATCTTGTCATCAGTGGGTGCGAGAAGTAATTTGAATAATAGTAAATAAGGAGGTGCTAATGTTCAAAATATAAGTGGCATGATGAAAACTCTTGCTTCTGGTGGATAGATGAGCACAGGTCAAAACAGTCATGGTAGTAACCTGCAGAAATTCCTGGTAACTACAAACCAAAACAGAAGATGAGTATGAAATGATTTGATAAATATAAACAAAGATAGAATTAACTTATTAATCTGTAGTTAATGATCTTGTTGCTGATCAATGAAATATATACAGTCACTAACTATTAAAGACTTTCTCTATTATTTTAATTAACAGATCATTAATTTTAACATTGCAATTATAATTAAAGATATATAAAGATTTTAAATATTATGGCACAGAAATCATCATCTCTGCTCTTCAATGAAGTGCTTAGCAACAAGATTATACAGAGGAAATGCCTCGGAATAGCTAAGAACTACTTCACCAATGCAATGAAGACTAATCCCTAACAAGTTTAGTTCCCTCAATACCCCTACATTTTCTCAAAAACCCTATCATCGTATGATTCAGCTTGAATAATTGACATTTTACTTTAGTTTACTTCCAAAAGGTCAAAGTTTTAGAATACCAAAGCTGTGCAATAATGGTCAAGTTTTTCATGAAATTGAACTTGGAGTAATGCTAAAAAGGGGCGGAAGACATCACGCTAAAATGTCTGATTGGAAAGAAGATATTGGTGGATATTTCCTTTTAATAGATTACACGGATTTTGATGAGGCCAAGAAAGCGATGATTAATGGTCTTCCATATTTTAAAGGCAAAGCTCAAGACGGTTTCCTTTACTTAAGTGACTTGATCCCAGTCGAAGCAATTGATGATCCACATTAAGTTGAATTAGAACTAAAGATTAATGATTAAGTGAAATAAAAAGACATCACAGGCAACATGCACTTCAAGATTCATGAGCAATTGGAATATATTACTCGCTACATGACTTTAGAAGCAGGAGACATCCTAATGACTGGCACTCCAGAAGGCTTAGGGCCAGTAAGTGAGGGTGATAAACTAGATGCTACTTTGACATACAAGGGGAAGGTATTAGCCTCTATTTCTGATGTAATTCAGAAAGAGAGATGATGTTTTGATTAATGATTAATTTAATCTCGGGAATTATTTAAATAGATTCTTGTTTTGCTGTTATCTTTAAAATTCAGGCATTAGGGGTTTTGGGGTTTTGGGGTTTTGGGG